AGGTGGACATCAAGTACTTGCATGGCCTATTTAAAGCCAACGAGTATCCAGTGTCCTTCATACGTAAATGTCCTAAGAAATCTCATCATGAGTGGTCGAAAGGAGAGGACCCCACGTTTTGTCTAGAAAGCCCTTATGGCAACGGCAAGAATCCTGACATCATTTTGGATCGCTGTGGCTCATAGGTCGACCAATACTGGGGCCCAAAGACCCGCTCCCATCGACAGAACAATCATCAGTAGTCTACAGTATACCATGCCGAAACTGTGATGCAAGGTTTATTCGTGGAACGGGCAAACGCCTTGGCACAAGGTTGCAGGAGCACCAGCTCGCAGTCAAATCTAAGGATAAGCTGTGCATGGTCTATGGCCACGTACAGCTAAATAACTATCCTTTTGCCTTTGATAAAGCAATGGTAATAGGTCGAGCCAATGACAAGCTGGCCAGACTGCTGGTGGAACGGTGGGCCTCGACTGGTACGCTTGTCAGAGCCATAGACTTGCATCCTGCCAGCCAGGCGCTACGCACATGTCTTGAGTCATTTAGAGCAAGGCCTACAGGACAGCCGAACAAACTCACATGTGGAAGACAACTGAGATCAGAGGAAAATAGGAGAGGGGCCGACGAGGAACCCCGTGACCAGCGTGAAATACCGCTCACCGCCACGCCCACGGGACTGACACCAATTCACGTGGGCACAAACAACTGATCAATCCGTTGACTGACGAGAGGTAAGCCAGTAAACACGATTATTTGCCATCAATTACGACGGCCGAAAAGGCGGCAAATGTCAGGTGGGTCCATCAGCGGTCAATCTCAGCGAGGTCAACACTAAGCGTCAGCAAACAGGCAGGTCAAAGTTCGTGCGTTGAGGACGTATATAATAACAAGCAAGTGCCAAGAAGGCGAATGAAGGACTTCGATTGATTCATCATCAGGCAAATGCAAAAATGTAAGGGAGGGCAGAGTTACAAAAGTTTATACAAACAATGAGTGATGAGACATCGACAGGAAGCATCCTCAGGCCACCTACGCCGTCACGAGAAGATGGCGCCTTGCGTCTTCACGCCTCCCACCGAAATGCGAGATAAGGACGACGGGGCGACATGAACTAATTGTCGGGCCTCTCCCCCCTTTCCCCCTTCTGATCCCTAATTATGACTATAATTGGGCCTTTGTCCGCTTAAAACCTCCCCCTACTTATTAATGATTGCTTGCTTAAACTTTTGTTAACTCTACCCTCCCTTATATTATTATACTGACCTGATGATGAATAATCGAAAACGTTCGTTAGCCTAGCTTGACTGCCTGAATGTTTGCATGATTATCCTTGCTGAACCTAAATAATCCAAGAATGAAGCACTCACTGCCTGCAGGAGTAATCACCACATTATCCTGATAATGAAACCGAGAGGATTTTAGAAACATCAGTCTAAATACACTGTGGTCCATGAACTCGACCCTTTTTCTTCGTCTTCCTTTGTGGATAATGAAACACAAATATAATTATTTTGCTTATTGGTTATTTTTGATCGTTGGCATCCGCTTTTAAACCCAGCTGATTACAGTGTACATCCGATTATATTATAACTGCTGACAGCTATTGTCGAAACTCATAAAGGTTTTACTGACGTCTTTTCTTTAATGTGAATTCCCTCAAGTCAATTTTATCGGTTTCCTTGTTTGCTAAATAAATATTTTCACCAGAATGCCGATACTGTTTACAGTTTGCAAATGCATAATAATGTGCAGTTTGTATGTTTTTTTTCTTTTGAAAAAAAAGCATATAGAATTCCCATTATGTTTTGCTTCCGAATGTCGGGGTAACTTGATTCTTCTCTCAGTATGAGGAGTCAGGCCTCAGTGAGTGCTTTTTAACACCTCTCCTATGGAACTAGCAGTCAGAGGGGATCAAAGCCGGCCTTATTAACTGTGTGAATTCGTGATCAATCATGAAGGAGAGGCACGCGTAGATGGCTATCTAGATCTGTCAACAACTGTACTCGAACCCTCTTATGGTCTTCATGACCCGGTAAAAGAATGCAGTAGATGCTGTATACGTCCACCATTAATATAAACTAATTCATTTCCAGTTCACCCTCCCTTTACCCAGCTTTTTCTGGGGCTAACGGTAATCTTGACGGTAATGACGCTCCAACTCAAGACACTCAACTCAACTCTATTTTGTTTCAATTGCGCACCGATCATTCTTCCTGAATACGGTGCAATTCCGTGTCTTGATAGTTCTCATTTACCCAGAGCTCTCAAAAAGGGTAATAAGCGGTCATTCACGCAACAAATGAGCCATTATATTCCTCTTTTAACTTGGCCAATGCAGTACCTCATGAAATAGAATGAAAACAGTCCTATTTGTGAGACAACTTTAAACAGAAACAGACATTAGAGCAGCGGTATTATTACCGCACGCAACCGTTCAACCTGTTGAACGCTTATTTACAAATCGAGGTCCTCTACAGTCGCTAATAAGTGTTTGATTGAAAGAAGCAAATCAAAATTATAGCCTGATCGTTTAATTAATACAGTAGTTTCAGAATTGCTTTCGAACCAAAATAATCGGAACAGCTGGAAACTTTCGCTAGTCGTTTGAGAGAAGCACTTTCAATAGAAACGAATCACTACCCCCTGTACATTTTATGGAGGAAGACTATGCATATGACTGAGCAAAGCTAAGAGTAGTATCGTAATTATGTTATTTACAGGTCATTCATGGTACGCAGCTTAGTCTCTTTGAAATTTATTGTTGGCAAAAAACATTCGGTAACTCTTTGAATCCACTGCAGGCTGAAATAATAATAAACGAATATACCCCTCAGACTTTAGAGGACAAAGAGGGCAAGATAATACTAAAGGTTTTCATTTCTTCCCCTGCCTAAAACATATTTATGCCTCCTTCAGAATATTACTACTCTGTACTATCAACCACGTCATTCTCAATTAGTTAAAACATCAGCTCTTTTGAATCCTTCGAGTTCATTCTTCCTTAAATCTTTTGAGACGACCCTAGACATGAGTTCTTAGAGTAAAAACAATTTCTGCTCATTTGAGGTGTGGGTGATGCCACTTTTATCGGCCGAAATTTACTCAAAGAATTAGGAACTAATTCGTGATACTGGACATTAAATAAAGTACGGCCCAAAAATCGTGCACCATGCATAAGCCCGTAAAAGTTTGATAATTACTGGCATACCGGCGTGAACGTATTTACGAAACTTTCAAATAATAATGAACAGCATTAGACACATTAAGTACTTAAAAGAAGTATAAGATGCTCTAAGTGTTCGTTAAGAAAATTAGAATTTTCACGATAATCCCCAAGTTCCGGAGATGTAAAAAATAGCTTTTAATTAGAGCAATAAATTTAAATATTCTCTTAAGTTAAAAAACTGAAGGTAACCACTTTCTTTATATAAAAAAACTTTTCTTTAATCAAAATATTTTATTGATAGATTACTTTTTATTTAATATTGTCCGTTAAATTCTGGCATAATTTTCAGCTTTTTTAGTGTCATTGTACGTTCATCCGTTAATTGAGCTTCTGTTCGAGGTTTACATCAAAACCTTTAAAGTAAGGTCTACATAAAGAGCATTTCCGAAGAAATGAGTTTTTGGACATTAGTGCTTATGAAGCTGACCATGTGGATCATATTTAGAAATGCCTCGAAACAGAAAACCACACTGACGAGGGAAAATAACGTCCGCATAATAACTCTGATATGGTTATTCTTAAGATTAATAAAAACACTTGATATAATAGGTTATCTCTTCAAAAGTGTTTTACTTGGATATTCAGCTGGCGAGTTACAATTAATAAAGCCTGTTTGACATCACTTTTACTGTAATATAAATGGAGACTTTACTTATCGCTCATGTACCCGATGTGGAAAAACAAAATGCAATGAAAACACTTTGATACTGCATTTTGTGCAAAAAATACTTCACAGGTTAGCTAAACATAAAGTATTCCTTGTTTCTCAAAATAAATGCGATTTCTTAGACTTAGAATCACTTACATCTGAACAATTTCGGATACAAATTTCAGGTTCTCGAAGGGCTATGATTTACGCTCTTTTACTTATCTTCTAATTCTTCTATAGTCCAATGTATATCCGTCGAAAGTTTGGTTTTTTCATAATTAATAGCATAGGAAATTACTTCGATATGAGACGACTCCCAATTTCGCCAAAATCAGTTCACATTACCCTGAATATACTTAACTAAAAAGGAAATTATCCTACCTAAAAGAATTCCCCTTGATTAAATCCACTCAGAGAGTCAAAATAACGTGACCAAAATTTATGTTAAGATACCGAGTCAAATGTCGTCATGAAAGGTGCACGATTTTTGATCCGTCCTATGGATTATTTCATCGACGTATTCGGAGCACCAGTGAAGCAACGGATTTTTGGTGGTTGGGTATCACGAGATTTACTATCAGTATTCTGTCAGTGTCTAGGTTCTTAGTCTGTTCTAACATTCAGCTTTAATAAACAGGGCAATATTATGTGCTCCTCCGTCCACCAGTGCCAAGAAGCTGCGATAGGTACGTAAGGAAAAATTAATACAGGCGTATTTTTAAAACCAAAGGTACGCTTTTTTACTCACTGTCACATTTGTTCGGATAACAAAAATTACACATTTTTCTTGGAAGTACAGAGGACTGGCACTGCTCCCGTCAGGCTGCCAAATATTAATTGCGCAATCGCAAGGGTGATCAGTCCCGCTGGACAAAAATCTCTTAGGCACTTTTTAATTGATGCTCCTTTTTGTTTTGAATACTAAACGCAATTGTCATTAGAGTTAGAAAAATGCCACAGGAACTTACTTTAAGCCGCATAGAGTTCAGTCTCGCGCTTGTAAACAAGCACTTATAATAACCGATATTTTAGGATAAAGGTCAATGAAATACGAAAGACGTCAGATTATGTCATTCATTTTATCCATCACCCCTGCCTATTTAAGTTTGTATGCAGAATTCCATTTATCCTCTCCGCCTTTTACTTTCTATGGTATGCCACCTGCAGCATCCGGTAAAATACGGTTATGTTTACATCCACAATTAATCTAAAAGATATTGACACCCGGAGTGTTTTCAATAATATCATAGATTATTGTGTATAAAACTAAAATTCTTATTAGTAGGACGCGCGCAGAATCATCGTAATCGCTTTTCTGGTAACTTATTACTTTCTAACTAGATATGCTAGCGAGCTATGTTGGACTTGTTTAAACTTGCAAGGTTCCTGGATGAGAATATTAGTGCACACATAACGATATCGGAATCCGGATGTTAACTGTCATTGCTTGTTTCAATAATTATGTCGCAAATCAACTTCGTCTGTTAGCTTTAACAAAGATAATAGTTTACTTTGGATTTAACCACCAATTTCGTATTTTTTGTGCTTTTTAGTCTGTCCTTAATAAGATTGTGGAATGAGCTCGTTGTTCTGACCATTATGAGAGCAAGGCTGGTCTTAAAGTTTACTTATATCAACGTATTTAAGAAGAGCGATTTTATTATCCTAGGCCGTCATAACTTTATTCAGTTAACAAGTAGCTGCTAAAGGGGATCCCTGTAAAAAAACCTAATTTAGTAGCTCAAAATAATCGTGTAAGTGATATTCCGGTCCTCGGGACATAAAAAAAATCGGTTTTCTTACCAAGTTAGTTGATTTTTATTAAAAAATGGAACCCCCAATGGAGTCTGCTTTTCTTCTGTTAATTTCTTGAATAAAGTCACATAAGCGAGAATATTCTCTTCTCTTTTCTGTTCATACGTCTTTTTTAGATTTAAGTTTAATTGAGTGGAACTTAGACCGCTTAGGAAATAATTAATTTGCGTCACTTTTCAGACTTAAAGGTAATTTTTATGGACTATAAATGGCGCTTTTAACCGGTGTTTAAGGCTTTTTCTGTTAATTCTTCCTTCTGACCAATTAAAGCCGCCCTCATTTATATTTTGTTCCCTTGTTGTTGTGGTTCCTAAAACACACTGTTTCAGACACAAAGCATGTGCATCTTCAATTGTAAGATGATAAACTCTTAGGAGTTCTTCCTTTATATAGACTAGACCGTTTGAAAGATTCTCGAGCAAATGTTTCTGACACCCGTTAAACGTAAGGCTATCTTGTGGTATGTACTAGAATGATCGGATTGCTCCTCTTGTAGTTGTTAACGTCACCATCGTTTATCTAGTCGTAATATATGATGGACATTTTCTGTTACCGTACAAATCTTAGTATAAGTTTACGATAACTGCATGTCTAGAAGCGTAAAATTCTCTGTTTCGTTGTTGAATAATCGAGGATTTTTAATTTCTTTGTCACGCACGTCAACAGTTTCTGATAAAATGTGAAATAACGGACCCCGCCAAATAATGTACTATTGACTCAGTATTAAACTTACTGAGGTAGTTCCTCATGGCCTTAAATATGTGAAAGAATACCCTGTACGTCAAATAACTTGAAGTTATGCTCCGGTTATGAGAAGGCATTACAAAATAATGACATGCCTGTGGACGATACTTATTGGACAGACTTATTCGATATTATGCCCCAGTATGCGGCATGCCTTTGACTCTACGCATCAAGTAGCTTTGCAACGTTTTCAGTGCAAATTCACGAGCTCTTTTCTCGTAGATATATAAAAATTGCAAAAACATGTGTAGCACACAAACAAATGAAAACACATCCCTCTGTCTCTCTAAAAAAATACAACAATTAATTTCGAAAACATGTAATGCCATACATACATCACGCATTGTTTTCAATTTCCGAGAACGTAAAAAGGGTTAGAGGAATAACCTAGTTTAACAGCCAAGGTAAATCATACTTAATAGGGTTATGTTTTCTAGTTGTACAACTGATAACGCACAGAACGATGAAACGTTTCAGTTTGCACCCGATCGTCTGTGAGAACATGTCCGATGTCTCCTCCTGTTCCGCGGCTCCTCCTCGTCTTTGACAAAAAAGATGTTCGGTGGGCTTTTGCGAGGAAGATTGACGATAGCATCTTCAGTCGTAGAGGTGATGCTGCTTTCCGTTAAGGATATAGAGTCAACTGATTCAGCTCGTCTTGCAGTTCGGTTTTTAGTCAACGGCTCCAATTTTATGGACTTTGAAAGTGGTTGAACCCGGACTATGATGGGTTTTGCGTTCCTCCAGTCTTTAGAATCTTCGTCATCTATACGGCGATAATCCTCGCAATTGCAACAGCAAGTGCCGCTGCTGCTACTGCGCTTGTTGCTGCTGCTACTGCTGCTTCTGCTGCTACTACTTTTACGGGAGGTAGAACAACTCGCGTGCTTACATCGAATGCAGTAGAGGAACGTACTTCCTTCTGGGGTGACAGCTACTCCCTTTCCGGGAACATAATCGGGAAACTCCGTTTTGGGTTGTTCCTGTTCCTTCTTAGGTCGATGTGAACTAGAGCGGCCTCTCGACTGCCTTTCCTTTTTATCACTAGATATGAAGGTGGTTTTGTAGGGCTTCTTTTCCTCTGGTTTCTCCGGTTCCTTAGGTACTTGTTCAATAATAGCTTCTATGGGGTCCGTAGAAATATAGGTTACCCGAACTGCTGCTTCACCTTGTTTACTAGAAGTCCTCTTCGAGGCGGACGCAGAAGTCCTTTTTGAATCGGAATCAGAACTGGAGGTGGCGTCATAAGCCGACTGGCTCGGAAGATCTGGGCTGGCGCTTTCATAAGATCTTTGTGTTTTTGACAGAGATCTTCTGCTGGATTCTGGAGGTTTGCGGGCTGTAGTTGTCGAACTTGAAGAATATGGTGTTGGTGATCGCTGCAGGTCTATATCATCACTATCCTCAGAGCTCTCAACTGTTGATTGAATCACTGTGTCCTGCATTTTCATTGTTTTTTTATCTCTAGCAGTGGAAGGGCTTTCATTTGTTTTAGCTGGGGCAACCGTCACACTGTCCTCCGTTTCCTTGGAGGGCTCTTGGTTATCCTTCGCTGCCGGCTTCTGGCTAGCCTTGGCTGGTGG